AGTTCCGTATTTTTTATTTAGTTTTTTTTTAAGCTTGACTTACGAACGGGGGAGAGATCCAAATGACCAGATATATACGTATTTTTATTAGTGGGTTTTAGTATTGCGTGGACGAGCGAACGCAAGCACTGTGCGTTTGCGTTAGCGTTGCGTATTCGACACTGCGCGTGCGCGGTGCCCAGACTGCGGCCAGACTACGGCGACGACGCGCCTGCGCAACATGGAGCAGGCAACGCTAAGCCAAGGCGCTTCCTTTCACTCGCAATACTAAAACCATTGATACGTGTCCATCAGCTCTGCCTCGAGCACGCGTTCCCTGCCTTCCGTCGTAATTCGGCTCCGCGTGCACCGAAGCGCTGGCTAAGGTAGAAAGCTCGCGCTGGAACCTTCTACCGCAAATATTTTAGGTTGCAAAACAAGGCAGGCTATACTCCTTTCACACGAGACGAAAACAGCATCGGAAGTTTTCAGGTATTTCTCACTACTCGTCGTGGGTCCGGTTGGTAAGGATACCTCCGTTGAGTGCGCTTCTCCTCGAGCACCGGTGCACTGCGGAGAGGCGACACACGTGGAGAAGACCGCCGAGCGATCCTGCCTGTCTCGCTTCGCCGCAAGGCTGTCTCGTGCCAATGAGAGAAGCGCTTTTTCGCTGAAGAATAATGCCCGCGCTTTTGCAAGAATTAAAAAAAAAAATGAATTTGGGTGATGTTAATGTGCAGCTGAACTTTCAAAATAGAGCTGGGTCGGATATGCGATAATATATAGTAGGCTTTGATGGTCTGACAACACCCGTGCGTCACTGTTGTGTCTTCTTTATTTGAAAATTAAAGACGGAGCCAACAAACGTAAAATAACTAAAAAAAAAAAAAAAAAGCTTAGAAGAAAAATTTAGAAAGTTTTTCTTCTGAATTCGTTTATAAAACAAGGAGCTTTAGTAGATTGTTCCTGTAATTTCGATAACGATACCCGATAGTCCAGCGGCGGCTTTGCGTCGGCATTGTATCGTTATCGGGTATAGTTATCGGAGGCATCGAAACGATTTACTCAAGCTTCCTAATATGACAACATCTAGCGTACACCCTCTTTCATTAAATATATACAAAAAAAAAACAAAAAAAAAAAAACGGGCAGCTATTGCCGCAGGGGATGCTGCAAACCTCTCTGCCGCCTGCCATCTTTCAAACGCATTGTGGCGCCATCGCCTGCATATCCGAACCAGCCGAAAGGCGAGCAAGGCCCAGATTTTTCCTCCGTCCTTTCTCCTGTCCTCTCGTCGGGCAGTGGAGGGCAGAGCTGCGACGAAATTGTAATTTGCAATTGTGTCACTTTTACTAGTAGTACGAAAATCAAAATTGCGCCCGTTATTGTTAGGGCGCCCCCATAAGAATTTTTACAGATTTTTTTCGACCGAGACACGTGACGTCACGGTGTAGCGTGACGTCATAATGTAACGTGAAACATCACTTTAATGGCAGAAAGGCAGAGAGGTGAGCCTCGACGTACGTCCTAGCTGTATGTCCTAGATTATATGCTCTGAGCAACATCCCATAATACGCAAAAAAAAAAAAAAGTTTTTTTTTATTATTTTTTTTGTTATCTAATGCGTACTATGGGATGACATCGACATTTTGTCTTATTTTTACGGATTTTTGTACTGCCGCGTATAATATAAGCTGGAAAAGCCCTCCATGCTTTTTCAGCTCTCCCGCCGATTTTTAAAACAAGTTTTGATTCAATCTTTATTGGAGCTTGTGGAAACAGTATAGGCGCAACAAACTTCCGGATCAGGTGTTCTAGCTGATATTTTTCGAAGGTGTAAATGTGTATTTTTTTTTTTTGCTTCACTTCAGTATACTGAGGGAGTGTGACGAGCGCCACCATTATCTGAACAAAAAAAAAAAAAAAAAAAAAAGAAATAGTTTCCAAATCCTAGTGTACGGTGCGCCGGGCATTGAGAAAATCTATCGTGACATGGGTACAATATCTGGTCTAGGAAAAACCAACTCAACAAAACGTGTTAGAAGTTTGCCATTTTCCTGTTCTATGGCTATTGTATACTATTATTTGCGACAGATTTTTTTTTGTCTAAGATATAACCTTTCGCTGTCCAGTGCGTGTCAAATAAAATAACGAAAATTGCAGAACTTAAGTTCAACGTATCCCCCCCCCCCCCCCCCCCCCCCCCAAAAGTTGCACATATATGTTTGACTAAAAACACGTGCGTCGTAACCCAGCAAAACAACGTGCTCAAAAGCACCACCGTATAAGTATCCATTGTGCCCAGCCCAGAGGCACTTTCAAGGCAAAGCGTGTACTCGAAAGAAAGAAAAACTGGAAGCGGCGGCGATTTCAAACAACAAAAGGGCACGCAAAAAAAAAAAAAAAACACACGAAAGGTGAAAAGAACTAGGAAGTGCACCATAGTCTAAAAAGCCGGAGAGAATCAACGGATAAACAATATTAAAAAAAAGAAAAAGAGACCTAGAAAACGAACCGGGGTATTATGATAAAGTCAAACTCGTTAGGGGAGGGTGGGCTAACGGCAAGGAGGCATCAACAACCGAGGAGTGTTTACGCCGGACCCACTCACCCGACCAAATTGCCGTGTGTGGACGCCGTGTCGCGGGCGAAAGGCTATCAACGAGCACGCTCATTTCAACCCCCCGAAAAGCGCGATGGGGATACGCCACCTCCACCAAGGTGCGGGGTTGACTTTTCATCGGCCCACGGCAAATCGCATCGCGCATCTTTAGACGCTGGAAGAGACTACGATGTGAAGAACTCCAGAGGGAGAAGAGGAGAAGAAGGAGGTACTCGGTCTGGAAAGGACGTCGTGAGGTCAGTGAGTCTGTCCCTCGCAGACAACTTGTCTCGTCGTGCTGGCGGGAAGCCCCGGTGACCGAGAGCGGTTTGCTTTGATGGTTCGTGCGAGTACTCTGTGCCTTTTAAGGACCAGTCTTACTGCCCACGGTGTTTGCTGCAGAGATGATGCGAGAATTAGCTGCCGAAATAACTCAAGCATGTTTCAAGCATTTTGCTGAGAATTCGTTACCACGCACGTGTTTTTAGTCAAAGTGTTTCTGCCCATTTTCTTAATTTGCACCGCGTTCGCTCGAACTAGTGTGTGGGACTCGAGCAACGCATTAAGAATGTTATAAAAGAACAGATCTTGTGCCTTTTGAACATAATAGGTGAAAGAAGCTCATAATTTTGAACACATTTTCTACGGCTGATGACACCATTGGTCTGAAGCAATTGAGAACCGAAAGGACAAGAGCGTGCAATAACCTTGCGCGCTCTTCGTAATTGTTGGAATTAACGTCCAGTGATGAAGATGTTATGAACGCCCCACCGATTTACGGATGTTCCAAGCAAACATTTGAGTGAGAATCACGCACTTGAAAATGCCAGAAGGGGTCACGTGCACCCATTCAGCCATTCCTACCTCTAGAATTTCATGTCGTCATTATCCGACGCTCTTGACCAGTGTCGGCACAGAACACTTCGAATGCCGCAATGCAATGAGTTCAAGGATAAAGATTGGCACGCGGCATTCTAACCACGAATTTTGCAGGGACTCATGTTTGCATAGAGTCTACTGTCTTTAGCATGATGTATTAGCGGTGAGAGCCGGGTTTTAATGGATGGCTCGCTGCTTGGTAAGCAGAGGGAGTTCTGGTGGACGTCAGGTTGTTTAGCCATGATGGCAATATTTGTATAAAAAAACAACAACACGCATTTGAATTTTGTTTTTTCATCGCGGTTAAGCTTCGTATATCTGTAATAAGACGATATGCGGGGTTCAGAAAGTTTGTCTTATATAAAATGTCGCCGAAGTTAAAAGGTTGTTTACTCTGTGGGCTGAGTGCGAACGGTGTTCATATATCGCTTCAGTGCGTTATAGTGTCAATAATGTCTCCAAAAAGAAATCTAGTTCGATTTTGAATTTTGTACAATAATCGAAAAAAGTCTATAACCTCGAAGCTCTTGCGTAACCACGGAGTTATGGGCTGAATAAAGTAAAAAAAACCTTCTATGATTTACGTCCCTCCTATTCGAAGAAATGACGCAAAGAACGCAACGAAGGTGCGAAAAATAAAATAGAGATTTTTGCTATTCTCGGTCTCCGTATCAGCGCCATTTCATCACCGCTTTGAATAACCCCCTCCCGAAAGCCGTAGAAAAAGAAACTAAAAAAAAGAAAGGCATAAACCACAAAGAAGCTGTCGAAAACTTCTCAACCTTGGAGTCGAACCATGGTCCTTCCGTCAGCGGGTCGGAACATGCAAGCACCCGAAAGTAAACAAGACATAAAGAAACACCGCCCCGTCCAGGAACGCTTGCCAGGAAGCTCGGTTCCTTCAGAAGCAAGCACAGGTTCCGTCTCGGACGCTAAGTAGGCAGCCCACCCAAGATCTAGCGCAACCTAGCGGCCACAACAGCAGACAGGTCCTGCCGACTACACATCTATCGGGCTAGGGCAAAAGAAAGAGGCGGCGGCGGCAGTCTGCGAACGCGAGCGTTTTGGAGCCAAGCCCCGGCGCGTTCAAATTTAGAAGGTTTGGGAGGCTCGTGTCCGGATCTTTCTCTCCTCCGCGGTGTGCCTCGCAGAGCTTGCGGCTGGCAGCAAGGGTACCACGAGCAAGCAGCAGTGCCGCGGACAGATCGCGAGTCAGTCGCGACCGAGGGAGCGGCAGATCGACGACACCCAGCGGTGCACCGACGGACGGTTCTTGCCGAGGACTAACAAGCACAGGAGCCTTGCGGCAGCACGACAAAACGCTCTGTGCCGGGTAAGTGAAATAGATATACGGTTTTGGATTACAAGATGGACACGCCGCCTTTGGAATGCTTACTTCCGCGATTCGAACGACAAAGGTGCGCTGTGCTGCTACACGTAAACTTTGACCTTGAAATCTTCCAGACAGCCGAAAGACCCGTGGATGGCTGCATTTGCACCACGAGAAAACAAATAATAATAATTTTCATTTTTTATCATAATGGGTGCGCAAAGCTTAGAATGAGCTCGAAGCAATATTTCGTTTAAAGCTCTGGTTTCATATAAATAACGTGCTTTGCATATTAAAAGTATAGTGAACGAAAAGGAACGACCTCTATCCGTGTTTCAATGATCACACAGCCGCGAAGCACGCCCTATTAGGAATTTTTGTTCTGTGTTAGTTTAGACAGCGGGAAGTATAGTCAGTGCCTATGGGCGTGTGGTGTCTGCTGTGGATGAAACTTTTTTTGCCAGTGCAGTACAACTGCTAGCATGGGATCTCTAACGGCCATCGCGCAGTAGCGACACAAACCCCGGTACGAGGCTCGTCAGATCAAAACGGGCCGGGGGGGGGGGGGGTTAGGGGTTACACGCATAAGGAACGAGGTCTAGAACATTCTGCGAGCAACGAGGCAGTTTTCTCTTCTGTCATTCTCATCGTAAGCGACGACCTTGAAAACCGGCACGTCAGTCTTGACCATTTTCTCTTCTTCTCGGTGATCCTCAGGGGGCGGTGAGGCCGGCGAGATGGCCTCGTGGCAGAAGCAGCAAAAGGAGCTGCACCAGCAGCAGCGAGACCTGGAGCAGCAGCAGCAGCGAAGGCTCCAACAGCAGCTGGCCAGCACGCACGTCCTGAGGCAGTCCTCAACCGATGGAGTGCCCGTTCCGAACCAAGTTCACGTGCCTCCAGCGGCCACGACACCCAACGTCTGGAGCCCACGTGGAGCTCCCCCTCAATCCGCCGCCAATGTCTCCCGGGACACGAGACACCAGCATCCGCCATCCAAGGCACCTCCGCCAGTGCATCCGAGACCAGCCAGGGTGCCGGTGCAAACGGCGCAACCGGTGATGCAACCTCCGCCACAGATGCAGCAGACGTCTCCGCAAGTGCAACGTCACATGCAACCGTCGCCCAAGATGCCGTCTTCGCCGCAGATGCAACGAATGCAGCCGATGCAACAGCAACAGCCGAACCAACCGACCCAAACGATGACGACCGTAACGACGACGAGACGTGTGCCCCTGGACGTGGTGCCTCAGCCGTCTGGACAGCGCGTCTGGACCGAGCAGCCCGTCAGCGAGTACCAGGATCCCGGTGCCCCCAGCACGGCGCAGGTGATCGCCGCCCAGTCTCAGGACTACGTCGACGAGAAGGAACTGGAATACCGCATGGCCATTCAGCAGCTCCAAGGTAAGCGCGACGGAAAGATGACCAAGTCCTTAAGCGTAGTTTCATCTACACCGCTGGTTGCCCACGCGTGAGTCAGACAAGCTCTCATACGGAACGCGCCACCATATTGACGACTAGCAAGCGCAGTAATTGCAGACAACTGGTGCGTCACTTTTCCGCGTAATAAAATGTGTCAGCCAATAACCGTCATTGTCACTGACCACTAGGGCGTGGCTTTTACGATTAAGCCTCTTGTTTTATGATTGGCTCTATGGAATTCTCATCGGCTTACGTGGTACTCTCATTGGCTGCGGGGCAAAAAGATGCTGAATCACTGAGATGTGGACATATGTGCGGTGTCTGATGTCCGTTCAAAAGCTCTACTGTGCATGGTCAGAACGCGTTCTATATGCAGGCCAATAGACAAAGATGGCGATTAGGTTTATTCATCTGTATAGACACATTCTAGAGCATCGAGATTCGCTACCGTACCTCCCGTCGTTGAGTGACATTTGTTCGTGTGACGCGAGCGCTGAAGAGAGGCTATAATAACTGACAGGATGAGAGCTGCAGGGCGTCTCCTTTAGTTGCCCGGCCTCCAGCATGGGCCCGTTGCCTTCCGCCGTGCTTTGGCTGCATGCGCGTGCACGCTCGAAGATCTCGCCCTGGATTCGGAACAACCGAAAGGACTCCCTGGCGTTCCCATCCCGTCAGCGGCTCCAGGTTATCCGGCACGCGTGCGTGGGCCGCGGGCGCCGACGTGCCCGCATGCAGACGCCCGGTGGATCGGCCGGAAGCCTGTGGCTGGCCAGCGCTGCTATTCCGGGATGCCTTTGCTCCTTGACGGCGTCCGGCTCGCATGGAGGCTAAACTTAGCGCGCCGTCTCGGTGTGTGAGCTTGCCTGCCGCGCCGCATGCACGGTTGAAGGATGGGTCTCCCGCCGACGCGCGACGCACAGTACTGTCGCCGGTCGTGCCCGGCTCCTTGGCGGACGTCCACTGGTGTTTGGGCCCGCCCAGCCGGCCAACGCTTTGACGGGGGAGGCTTCGATGTGGATCGACTCCTTTTCGAGATCTTGTTGACGTTCCGATGTTAGCCTTCAAACATGGCTGGCATAAGATGTCACGTCAGAGGGTCATTATTATAAGCTCGTTTCATTTACCTGCACTTCTTGCACCGGTACAGAGAAGTGTAGGGCAGTGTACTTCCGGTATGTATATCCAGGTACGACCGGAAGTGCACCGCCCTACACATTTCTGCACCGGTGTAGGACGCCGATCTCACTACCCCTCCGCCCCGACTACGGTAGTGGTTTTGGCGTACGCCAAAATCAATACCGTAGTCATTTCGGAGTACGCCATAGTCAATACCGTAGTCTTTTTCGCATACCCCAAACACACTACCCTTACGCCAAATTCAATACCTTGAATAACGTCGGCTGAGCAGGGGTTGAGCTCCGCATTTCGCTAAAACTGGCGGAAGTAACTTTCTGCAGCATAACACCCTGATTGTTTGTTGTTGTTTGTATGAGCGGCGGAACGCGCGCGGCAGGCGTTAATTAATTGTGATTAGCGTTGATACGGCTGACGGCGCGCAGAGCTGAAGGGCACAAGCAAGGAAGCTTGGAGTGATTCTGTGTCGATGTGATTTGACATCGCTTCTTTCTGGTTCTTCGATCATGGTGCAAATGCAGGTGCCCGACTCCCGAGCGATTCGAAGGCAAGAGTGGTAGCCTGTCCGCTGGTCTTTCAATCGCATGCTCTGTCGTCATTTTGGGCACAGCGGAAGAAAATAAGACGTTCACTATTTTAAATAGCGTGCGATCGGCCTGTCTAGGTTCTGGCGACACCGTTTCAGGCTGTAGACGAGAAAATTTAGCCACTACAGTACGACTGCTAGCCTGGGGTCTGTGCCTCACAACAGATCGAAACGGGTAGGGGTGGGGATCCCTGGCAGCGGGACCTTTCGCCGTACGAGCTGCGGTGCGCTAACACACTCGATTTCCGATACCCCCTTGGGTCACAGCGCTTGCTGAAAGAAGTTTGGATCGTTTTACGCAGATTTTGCAGTGCGTACGAGACGCGCAACAGCTACGTACTACGTCCTAGATGCCCAAACTGAGGCTCGCTACTTGTGCGCGGCTGTCGTGATCTGCAGCTGGGAACAGTATGCTCGCCATGAAAACGTTGCAGTGAGAAGTACGGAAAAGTAATACTATAAAAGTATAGTATCTAAAACTGGCTTACATTGTCACTGAACATATGGAAATAAAACTGATTAGGAATGCCGATCAGATGGGTGTTATGTGTGGCGTCGCGTCGGCACAGGAATTCAAACTGGTTGCCCCCACCCCCGCTCCTAAATTCTTCCAATGCTGCTGGCAGCTTTTTTATATATATATATATATATATTGTAACGTTAAAGGCCCCAACAGGAGCATTACATAAGGAGTGTGTGTGTGTGTGTGGGGGGGGGGGGGGGGGGGGGAAGTACTTGAAAAATACAAAAGATCAACATATGAACAGACAGGTGGCTGATACCTACAGGGCTGGTGAGTAATATAAACAGTGAGAACAAGTGTGTGTGAAATAAAACTGGTACATAAATACACTTGCTAAAAGAGTAATCGAAGCATTGCGGAACAAGACTGGGTTACCTATTGCCAGACAAAACCAGGGTAATCACCGACTCACACCAAGCATACCGGAGCTTCCAGTCGGGCTCGGTGCCCTGAAAAGCGCTGCAGGTGCTCAAAAACAAAAGACTCCCAAAGGAGCCCATAGAATTTAAATGGGTACCTGCCCACTCCGTGGTAGAGGGCAACAAACTTGCTCACCAGCAGGCCTGCACGCTGACTCACCGGGCCACAGCCATGGAAGAGGTGCAGGACCAACCCATGGTGACCTAAAAGGAAATACTAGTCGCACTCTACTGCAAGACCCTAGATGACGCGTTGCTGACACATGAGGAAGTTCTTCACCCAGGGATGAGCAGGCACAAAGAACCGTCGGTGAACCTGGATCTGAAAAAAAATGCAGCACTGCGTTTTTTGAAGGCTAGCCCTGTTCCGTTTGCAATGTGTACCGCAGTGGAGGCAGAACTCCGGATGCTCCAAAGCTAAGGCATAATCGAGCCAACACAACACTGAACGCTGTTGAAAAACTGGCGGTAAATCTGATGCGGGCTGTAACAAATTTTGTGGTGAGCGTGCTTGGAGGCACCATTTTTTCAACAGTGGACCTCACTAATAATAATAATAATAATAATATTTATTTGCACGAGAAAGTTTGCCCACTCAGCGGCGTGCGAGGCTAGACAGAAAGGTTAATACCCTTACGCATGTGCGCCTGCTAGCCCGCCGCTGAGTAGGTATAAACATAAACAAACTGTAGTCGTAAGTACAAGATAACACATATACACGTATGGAAACAATGAATAATCAGAGGGGAAGATAAGAAAACTCGCTGTGCCCCAACCCACCCCCACGCAGACCACGGCAGAGGCCCCAGCCACAAGGCATTCCACTAGCTGTGTGTGACAGTGGAGACAGCAGATATGCTCACCATAAACACCATCAAAGGACGACACAGAGTGAAAAGGATGCTCTTGAAAATTTCGGCTGCCGCGGCAATTTTTCAGCTCTGCAAGGAGACAGTCCTAGCAGGAAAACCCATCATGGAATTCTACCTGGGTAATGTTGTTGTGACGATCTGGAACGGTCATCAAGATAAATGGGCACCGTGCTCAGGAAAGACGTGTCAATGTCATCAACTACCATGCCAAAACTACTTCTTTTATTTCGATCATGAGCGCTCGCACGAGCCGCTTCAGAGCGATGTCTCTTGCAGCTCGTCACGTGCCAAGGGTTTTAAGTGTCGACCTGATATCACGCTGCCATGCAACAAATATTAAACAAATACTGCATTGAGCAATATGCACATGATTAAATAATGATATAAATATGACGTGATAAATGAGAAAAAAAACTTATCAAGTTTACAAAATTCAGTCCCCAGGTAGAGGCTGCACAAATTTGACGACCGGCTTCAGTTTCTCCACATGCGCTACATTGCGGCCAGTATCGTCCACGAGTTCAAGCTCGTAGTTCACGGGAGAGAGCCGGCTCACGATTTGGCGAGGGCCAGTAAATCATAGTGTTGCCTTGACTCTGATCAGTGGGCTCTCCTACAACTCGAGCTAGTCCTTAAAAAGAACATACATGTGCCACTGTCAAAGTCGCTTTCTTGCTTTTCTTGAGCAAGCTTGATTTGTCTGGAGGTCACCTTCCGAGCTGCGTACCGCTGTCAAATGTGTCACCAACGTTGGTGCTGCGGGTTGACAACTTTCTAAGGTTCTGAGACAGAAGTCCCCCGGCAAAAAAAGGCTTAATCAACGGAAAATGTGGTCAGTGTTCGCATTGCTGAGCTTAATTGTCTTGATGCCCACTGCAGCACCAGAGGTGATGTAACAAACTACTAATGACACCTTCCAGGCGGAAGGGGCATCAGGTTTTCACTTTTCTCCGTCAACAATGCAACAGACTCAAAGTGCCGTTGCCATTCCAGAAATTCTTGGGTCAGCTCTTGCCGGCATCACGTGACAAAGTGGCCGCGTCTCTTACAAATGAGACGGAGTGGACGAACTTCAGGGTATTGGGACGAAGAACATTGAAAGTCCCGCGAAGTTTTTGACACATGCTGAAGCGACACATGCTGCTTCTTTTGCTTCCCTGTTGCAGAAGGGTGCTGGTGACGATTGCTGTCGTCAGCGTTCCGATGAGGCGGTGGCCGGCCCTGCTTCAAGAGCAGGAAGGAGTGCGCTTTCTTTGTCCCTGCACAGCTTGCACTCGCTCTGCAGCGAGAGCCAAAACCGGTGTCTTTGGTTGGCCGAAGACAACCTGCTCAAAGCAAAGGAAAGAGTCCAGCAACTCATTCAACGAAGCGAAGTGCCTGTCGAAGCATGCTTTCGTGCTTTGTGGAAGAGTGTGGCCAGGATAACCTTGCATTTCTCCGCCTTCGTC